AGGCAGGACTTGCCTGGCCATGCATCAGCCAGCTCTGGGAACGAGGCAGTGCAGCAGGGGGTGGGTGCAAGAGAACGGGCTCTGTCCCAGAGCTGCCTCGCTCAGCAACAGCCAAAGCGTGGGTCAGAACCAAAAATAAATTTGGGGAAGGGAGGGAGAGGGATAGAAAACACAGACACGAATGTCCTGGGGAGGCACAGAGCTGAAGGCCTGGACGCAGGAGGACACAAGCCACAGCCAGCTGCAGCCTGCACAGCCTCGCGTCAGCAGCACCAGTGTTCCCACAACACCAGACCCACCACCGGCCGGGTGGGCTCTTCCCACAGCACCAAGACAGAGGCCGATGGCAGCTGGGCACTGCCGTGGCACAGCCAGGCAGCTGGGCACTCCAGCTTGCCTTGCGCTGCAGCTGCAGGGACTCCCCTCAAGACAACACGTTCCCGCCTTTCACAACTCGGGCTCAGAGGAAAACCCCATTTCTCTTTGTCCCCAGGCTCCACCTCGGCCGAGGGCTTGTCGCTGTGGTCCCTCTTCCTTGGGCAAAAGGTAGCATAGATCCAAGTGCCACTGCCCAAAGCCACAAAGCCCAGCTGCTGCTTCTCACAGTCTTGACCCCCAGGCTACTGACGCTTGGCTTTATATGGGCGGGAGCGTTTCCGGCGGTCCGCCTTCCTCTGCTTGTGCAGACGGCCGATGCTGACTCCCTGCCGCCTGCGGACCGAGATGTTCTGCTCCACGAGACTTGCCAGCATGCCTGCAGGGGGAGAGGCAGACAGGCATGCTCTGTGCTGGTACTGCCCATGCCGGAGTGCAGCCCTCCCTCTCTCGCCCAAAACCCATCAGCAGGCTCCTCCCAGAATTATAAAGTCAGGACACACAGCAGAGACGTGTGGCTCCCCACACTGAGCACTACCTCATGCCCCAGGCCTGGCAGAACAGGGAGCAGGGCAGGGTGAGCTTCCCAGGTTCCCAGCTGCTGCTCTGCCCGGCTCAGTGCGGCTCCCCCAGCTGAATCTGAACCCCACGCTTCGTCCCCTCAGCAGCACAGCACAGCTCACCTTCCTGGGCCAGCATAGAGATGAAGGTACAGATGAACTCGTCATAGTTGTGGGTTCTCCTCTGATCATCGATCTACAAAGAGATGACAAATGCACAACTAATCCATGAACGGGTTGCAGGCAGAAAGGAGAGCTCAAGGCTAACAGGGGGCAAGGGATTAGCATGCCTGGCCCAGCCCACAGGCCAAGGAGACCAGAGCAGGAAGGGACCCACTTCCCAGCCCAGCCCAGGCCAGTGCACAATTGGGACTGTCTCCATCCCAGCCCAGATACCAGCATTTTCCACAAAGGGCAGCTGAGAAGAGGCAAGGTTGGCAGTGGAGGAATTCTGCCAGGCCTTGGGGTAGAGACTTTCCCCCTCCCTCCTGTCAGTGCTGATGTTCAGCTGCAGTGCTCCACCACCCTCCACAAGCTAGTTAGTGCTGCCCAGGGGCTTCACTCTGTCCTGGCAGGAGCTCTGCCCCAGAGGGCTGGTTGGTAACAGGAAAAGGACCCCAAATGCTCCCCATTGCAGTTCTCAGCTGAACCACTCTCTCTCGGCTTTGACACAAAGGCACCCCAGACAGAAGCCTTCAGGGAGCTAAACTGGCAACACAAACAAGCCATCAAACACACCTTGAATTTCTTCCTCTTCTCCACCTCTTCCTTCAGGCAGGCCTCGTAGTTCGCAATCTCTGCCTCCACGCACTTCAGCAGTGCCAGCAGCTCCTGCCAGGTTCAAGCAGAGCAAACATGAGCAGACAGACCCCTGCCACAGCCCAGGAGCCAGCGGGGTGAGCTGGTGGGTGTTTCTCTCTGTGCTGGGAAAGGGAGAAGTCATCAAAGCAAAAAACACTTGCCGGACGAAAAAAAAAAGAAAAAAGGTCATTGTAGGGAATTTCTGAGTCAGAGGGTGATCAATCAGAGAGCACTACAGCCAGCCCTGGGGAGCTGGGTTCTGCCTGAGCCTGGCCCAGCCCCATGTACCTGATTCTCTGGGACAGGGGCAGTGTTTTGTGCATGCCTGAGAAACACCCCAGGGCCTGGTTCTTCCCTTTTGAGTAAAACAGTTTCTACCAAACTCTCCTCCAGGGAGCCCTTGATGCGCTTGTGCTGCCTGAGCCTGGTCCTGTCTCTGTCTGGAGAGCAGAGACAGGCAGTAAAGTCACCAGCAGGCTGGGATTTGGGGGTGTGGGGTCCCACCAGCCTCTGACCCAAAAGAGAGCACTGCACACCGAACATCCCAACTGCGGGAGACAGCAGCTCGGCCCACTGCCAAGGCAAATGTCCCCGAGGTGACGCAAGCCACAAACCCTGCACTCCCTGTGCCTCAAGGCATGGCTGCGGTGACACGCGAGCGGGACAGCGTGCACATGCGGTTTGGTCGCTGCCAGCACTGCTGCGTCTCTGGGTGAGCGCAGGGAGCTCCACGTTCCCAGGGCTGTCGCAGCACAAAACTCACCTTGGGAGAATACTTTTCCCCCCCAGGGTGATCACTGGTCCTGCCAAGTCCCACCTTCTCTTTGCTGTCACTGGCCTCACAGCCCTCCTTCTCGTCCAGTTTGATTGCGACCGGGGTCTCTTCACTGGGTTTGATGGAAGGGGGGGAGCTTTTCCCCCCATCTACACACAGGGAAAGGAAGCATTAGGAGCCATCGCAAAGGACCAGTATCCACTCCCAAAGTCGAAAGACACTGCCCCCTCACCACAGGGGAGATGCCACCCCCCCCAAAAGCTGGCAGGCACCTACCTGCAACAGCCAGCGGGCAGAACATGCCATCCTCCGTGAGGTGCAGCACGCCGGTGCTGATAACAGGCCCCAGGTCCCTGACGGCCCGGTTGTAGCGCATGCAGTCAACGCGCAGCAGGCCGTCCTCCTCGCCAAAGAGCACCTTGGAGATGTGGGAGGTGACGGGGCTGGAGGGACGGGTGGGGTTGGCCGAGCGGATGGGAGAGCGCAGCGGGGAGTTGAAGGCGCTGCCGATCTCGGAGGCTGTGTCTGTGCTCTCGTTGCTGGGGGTGGGAGAGGGCTGGGAGTGGGTGACCACCGCCACGGCAGCACCTCCGCTGCTCGTCTTGATGGACAGGGGGATGGAAAGATCCTTTTGAGATTCCTTCAGCTTCTCAGCCAGGACGTTGATAGTGTTGGGCTGGAGGACGGAGAGCTGGCCATCCGCAGCCCCCGCCACATGCTCTTGCTTTACCTGTCCTTTCCTTTTGTACCTGTCCAAGAACACAGTGGGGAAGGTGAGTACCTGGTGGAGGGAGGTGGGGGCCCAGCGTGGGTGCTGCCAGCTCTGCACTCAGCACTCCAGGCTGTCTGCCTGAAACATTTCTAGGTCACCCCCACTGCCACCAGCTTCTCTGGCAGCACCCCAACACCACTGAACCACTCAGCTGCGGGTATCCCCACACAGCTGGGGGGCACAGGGTGCCGCATACCCCCTGCTCTTCTTCCAGAAGCCCCAAGTGCCTTCACTGTGACCCCACCTTCCTGACCTTCACAGCAGTCCGAGCACACCAAGACTGTCACCAGGAGTTGACCTGGCAATCTGCATTGGGGAACTCGGGTTCCCCAAAGCCTGCTCTCAGTAGAGTTATACTCAAGGCAGCCAAAATTCAAAATTGTGAAGAGCTACAGAAGGGCTTCACAAAATCCAGGGAGTGAACAGTAACACAGCAGATGAAGAGAACAGCCCTAATTGCACTCACAGATGCAGGCTTTATCACAACTACCAGCGCTCAGGAAAGAAATCTGGAAGTCACTG